CAAAAAGGACTAACAGATCTCTGTCCACAACAGGGAATCGAACTCCGGATGTTAGTGTTGTAAGTTCGTAAACTTACCACTGACCCATCAGAGGACAATAATGATAATAAAAGTACTCACAATAAATGTAATAACTAATACTGTTAGCGAAAGTAACCCTAAAGAAAGGATAGCAAATAAACCAACCTATTGTTAATGTAATCCCTAAAATCCAGGGTTCGATTCTCCGCGATGAACAGGTCACAGATAGCCCACTGTGTAGCTTTGAACCAAAACAACAACAACATATCTCCAGAATGAATATTTATTAGCTCAGTATGTTGCTATCACAGCTTCGCCACGAGGTTTCGATATCTCGCAAGTTCGCTAATCCAGTTAAAACTAAATTGGAACACCCATCGGTTAACTTAACATCATACACGTGTCTAAAACTGAGGTCTAAATCATACTAAGAATAGTATCAAACATTCTTGAATTTAATCAAACAAACCGAAAAAAAACAAACAGAAAACAATGGTAATTAAATAACGTACGTAAATCAACAGATATATTAAAAGATCAGGATTTAGAAGAAGAAAAATTACGTATGTATAACTCATATCTTCATTCTTTTATCATCTATAAGTATGTTTACAAGCGACTGTCTTATTCCATTCTACTGTTTAAATACATATACATCGCAATGTTAGATTATATATATATATATATTAATCATTGTGAAAGTGGTTAGAGACTTCGTAGAAATTTAAACCTGGAGAAATGGGTTCTTTAATCTTTCGGTCAAGACATCCCATAAAGTGTTATCTGATTGCAGTATACCCCACTTTCTTCACTATAATCTGCACCAGAGTTAACGAGGGGAGATCTCGAAATCTATTTACAATCAGGTATTTCACAGTCAAGAGTTTTAATTTTCATATTTCTGTTAACGAGGGGAACCGAGTCCCCCTCAACTCGAGCTAGCTATAATGTTCACCAGTAGCATCATTAGTATTGGATGTTATTGTTCCGATATTTTACATGTGCTTGCAATGGCACCAATCATATAATCCATATATAACGGTAATATAATTTTTTATACAGTGTATATTTTATTTTATATGCTGAACTTGTTATTAAGTATTTAAGGGCTATTTCCTGTTTCTGTATTATTTTAACAGATAAGCCGGATGTTCTAATTATTTTGTTCTGTTTTATGGCGATATTTACGGGTTTTAAAAATATAACCGTTTTTAAAACTGAACTGATTGACTAGAGGGCAGGCATCTAGTCCCCATCGCTTAGATGACCAACGAGGGAGATATAACACAACTGAGGTGACATTATTTTTGCGATAACGGGACGCGAATGGCACATAGCTACATGGTTCTGTACGCTAACTTCTGGACCGTGGATTAGGCTTAAGTTATGGTACCAAGATACTACAATCATACTTGAACCTTGAGTGTTCTAATCCCTCCCCCAGTTAAATGACTGGTAAATCCAATTTATTAACTTGGTTAACATCTTAATTGCTGTCCAGTTTCATCCGCCCATTTCTGACAAAGAAAACAAGACAAAAACGGTCAAGAATACCTTTAATGGAAGCACGTTTTTTTTTTGTCCAATTAAACTCCGTCGTTCTATATCAAAGCTTTTCTCTGTTGTGTATGTATAAACGAAAGATGCAAATACTGACCCAATTACAGGTGGGACATATTGTTTATTCCATGTAAGTAAGCAGCCCCAAAATAAAAAAAGTTGACAAGTATGTTATCAACATATGTACAGAGAAAAAGTTAATAAAAAACAACAACAACGCGAACCAGATTTTTTTTTTTATGAAGAATGAAATTTTTTAGTACTGTTACGTCAGCGAGATCACGTGACTATTCTCACGCCCTCTGCTTTCTAGAACTATCCTGTACCTTGGCGAATGCTCTAGCATTTACTAGATACAGGGTAGTCTAGTATATAAAAGAGGGTGACAACGTGACAAAATAATGTAATGTGTGTGTAGACAGTTAGTAGTTGATCTGCAGTCAGAGAGTATTATTGAGCACGTTCGTTGTTATAGCGTTTGTTTTAGCGCGATTTTTGAAATTAAGTGTATCGTAAAGTTATATTCGGAAAGAATAAACCAGTTTTATTAAGTAAAGACTTGTGTCGCTAAAGTTTCGTCGGAACGAAGTTACGGAAAATTAATTAACAAACGGAGACGTAACAGTACGTATTAAAAATCACAAGGAATGTTTAGTGGCTGAAAATAAAGAATGAACCAAACGTACCAACCCAATTGATATTTTCACCTCTCGTATGTTGACATGGTTAATAGCTTTTTAGTTCTAACCCCCCCCCCCAAAAAAAAACCAATTAGATTTAAATGACCGTACAGGCTACTAACTAGGACAACAACTGATGGTCAGTACGAAGTCGTAATTATAGCTGAAATATCCTCGAGATCTGATCTTTCTTCGCATGTAAACGCGACAAATTCCAAAATGTATGAATTTAAGAAAAATAAATTATAACTTATTTAACTCCAGTGATGATAACCGAAATATTCTGTACAGTTGGTCTTTGTTTGGATATAAAACCGATTAATTCCAAATTTATGTGTGGGCTTATGTCTCCATCTGGATGGTCGGTC